AACCATTTTTAAGGTAGAGTTTTTTTGTATTATAATCGCTTAGAGTTTTTTTATTATTCTTATCACTTAGTTTTTTTTGAATCATTATTATTCACTTAGGAAATTACATATTTTTTAGTCTTTTCATATTTGCATAAAATTAATAAAAAGTATTGTCACAAAGCTTTTTATATATTATAGATCATTGATTGTTGCAATAACTTGTTCCATGTAACACTTTCACAATCAGAAAAGAAACTAAATCTCACAACTGGCAAATTTGGTTAAACTCTCTGTACCTGATTCCAAATAGGTAACAGGAAGTAATTATAAATAATGGCTAATTGAACGAAGTATTCGCCAAATTATAATAATTCTCAACACAAATTCCCATCAAAAGAAGCAATGACCAGCCGAACGAAGTATTCGTCAAATTGTAATAATTCTCAAATCCAAATTCTCATCAAAAAAAGCAATGATAACTGAACAAAGTATTCGCCAAATTGTAATAAGTCTCAACCCAAATTCCCATCAAAAAGAGCAATGACCAACTGAACAAGTATTCGCCAAATTGTAATAATTCTCAACCCAAATTATCATTAACATCATTACTTTACTGTCACTGTCGTAATGCTCATTATGCACATCTCAACTCGTGTAAATTCGAATCACGTGTTAAATCTCATGTGATTAGTAAGTCGATCCGAATCCAAGTTTTATTCTGATCCTGATTATACGATATGATTTTAAAATCCAATCCAGAACTAACAGATCCAGATTGGATTTATAATCACATGAGTTTCAGCTTCATCCAATTTCAGCTTCAGCCACCACAATTAATAACATGTATAATTTCATATTTAACTTTTTTTTCTAAAATACTTACAGACAATTAAGACATTTAACTTCTCGATGAGTTTTTGCATCTTTATGTTCTGATGAAAGATCTTTCTCTTCAAAAAATCCTTTAGTAAAAAGTTCACTACGCAAAATACGTGAAGCTTTTCGTTTTTTAAGAGTTATATTATTGGAATTCGTAGTTTCACTCATTATTTATCATTATGTACAAATAAAGTTGGAAATTAAAATTGCATAACGTAAAACAAAAAAATATAAATCTATGATCATCTTATATAATAATCTGATAACTCGTACGATCACCCGGGTCGAACACAGGTACGACCCGAACTCGTCCGAGTTAGATTAAATTTAGAACTCGAGTTGTTAAAATGCTAACCTGACTCGATACAAAACTCGGGTCAGGTTAATAACCTGGGTTTGATTTGACCAGCTCGGAGCACCACCAATACCTCCACCGATTTGTTGATACGTATAAATGCAAAAATATTCACATAATTATAGGACTATAGATAACAAAGATATGCTTATATGTTCCAGAGATATGGGCGTTCAACGATGCCACACAGACCTGGTGCGAGACCAAACTGAAAATTTGCGACGGCACCAACGAAATGAAAAAATTAGACATCAAACAATGAAAGAATGCCAAATACTCACATTCATGAAACTTGGTACGAAACGAAACTGGAAACCGGTCGCGTAAGCTGTTAGTTGTTATGAGTGAGTTTGACCGCCATTTTTGTTTCGCTGGTGTTGCGAATTTCTCCAGGTTGCGATCAGATTCCAATTTTATTTCATGGCGGTGGTGTTTTTAATGAGTATTTGGCGCTTCTTTTCGTTGGTGCAAGTCCCAGCCAGAATTTTGCTTGGCCAAACCACAAAACAAAAGACATGTTTTTGTTTTGATAGCGATGGTGGTGTTATGCAGAATTCAGCCAATCATTGAATGTGTTACAGATATAGGTCATGTGCATTAAGTGGATAATTATGATTATCTGAGTTGACTTAAGCCTTAATTCACTACACGGCTTTAACGATCCCCTAAATCAGGACAAGTAAAAAAAATTGCTGAATTATTTTACTAGCATAATTCGAAACTTCGGGATCTTATAACTCAACGAGTTTAATGCCAATTTTTCTAAAAATTAGTAACTAGGTAGTTTTCACGAAGAAGACCAATTTTTATTAGTTCAATCCTGATGGTATCTGCCTCGAAACAAAATTATTTGAAGTCAAATTTTCACTAATTAAAAAATCATGTAGATCGCTCAATTTTTCCAAAATGAGATTATTGACTAGTTTTTTTATATATTTTCAAACTATTCTCTAGTTATTAGCATTAAAAAGAGTATAGAAACTATAGATATCAAATTGATTTTGGGGGTACTAGAATTTTTTTTCGTGAAACTTTTCATGTTGCGTTTCTATGTGGGCCACTGTACGTATATCATTAGTATACATATATGGTGACTTTTTTCTCATTTCAGAAGATTCAATTACTTAATGAAGAAAATTAAGTATCAGTTGGGAACTTCATTTATTTAATAAAGCAGACTAATAATCACATATGAAAGTCAATTTTCACATAGTGCGTGTCAGTGGGGGGTATTACTATCGATCGCTATATCTTTATCGAAGGTTCTATATATAAGTGAAAATCAATTCTCAATTTTGGAGAATAAAAAGTACTGATAAGACAAAACCCCCCGAACAATATTAAGAAAGGTTATCGATAAAGTTTTGGTTAGGGATTAGGATTAAGGTTATTATACATGTACATGCATGTTGTTGGTGTTAGAGTTTGGACGAAGCTAGTTTCGCTCAATATGTTCTAAAAAGTGTTTAGGGTCGTACTTTAATACATGTGGATGTTATCATTAGTGTTTCAGGTGAAACTAGTTTCGCCTACAAAGTGTCTCCAAATTAGGATGAAACGCTTCGGAGTTTGATAATAGTTTCGCCCGAAATGCTAGTGAAATTTCATAGCGTTGACACAGAATCGATTACAAACACAAGCGGAAGTTCCATAAAGGTATAGCTCTTTTTTTAACACAACAATATCGATTTTACACACAATCGGTGCTTAACGTAGAAATCCACACATATAAAACATCGTTTATTTTAACATCATTGCAAAGTTTCAAATAGAAGCTGAACTTAAAGATGGATTCTGACATTTCGGATATCCACGATTGTAGTAAATGCACTCATTGTCAAAAAAATTAATACTGCGATGGGTGTTTTGAATATCATCTTCAACTTTATGAAGGTGAGTGGTCTAGTAAAAATAAAGATATCAACATTCTAATAAAAAAATATGCGAAAATTATTCCTTTTGAATGGATCCCTTTTGAAATATTTACCAATGTTAGATATTTTGCAAAAGGAGGTTTGGAGCAATTTATAAAGCATCATTGCAGAAATTAATAAAGTGGGATCATGAAGGAAATAAATTTAAACGAGAACACGAACGAGAGTTGTGTTGAAATCATTATAGAATTCAAACATTAGAGTTTATAAATGAACTGTAAGTATGCTGCTTTTGTTTCTAATACAAAATCTTTCAGACTGTACTTCATATTTCTTCTGGAATAAACTATGATCGTTATGGAATAACTAAAACCCCAGCTACAACCAAGTATTCGAGATGTTAGACGGCCTCCATGGATCGGCTTCTGATATCCAACAGGCTCTCCTGATTACCGCGCAGTTGATAAAGTACTAGTAGTACTAGTAGATGGAAAAGTGCTAGTGATTTTGGTGGAACAGCAAATAATAAATTTATTGTCCTAAAGTTAATATTAGTGTCCCTTCTGGCAAATAATTAAAAAAATATGGGATTTATTAAACAACAACCAAATCGCTACCGTGCCAGTTTCAGCATAACCAATCAGAAATTCGATATTATCATAATTTTTTATTTTTTAACGACAAGTCCGTTTGTACAAGTACCTTATGTTGGCTCTAGTGATATAATGCATAACGATAATACGAATTTGGTAACAGAAGTATAGCGATAAATATAATGGTATCGAGATAAAAAAATGTATCGAAATCTATACTTATTATTTGAGGAAGCTTAAATAAGGAGATCGTATTAAAAAAAAATGATCGTTTTTAAATTGTCGCATATGATTGCTTTCGCTTGTCTTATTTTCGGGTGAAGGGGGAATTGTACTTGACTCCAAACGACGTTTTCGGATTAGCGTTAGGGAGGGATGAATAATATATTGGTGGATTATAATTTGCTTATCATTGTTCATTCTTTTAATAGACAGACACAACGAGTACATTTACTACACTAATTGTAGTAATCCCGTACTCAATAAAAAACCTATTCACTACAATGATGAGTATTCGAAATTTTAGAATTCAAAGAGCGTTTATTTAGTGTAAAACTGAAATAAATTACTACCAATAACGATAATATTAATCGAATAAAATAAAAATATATGCGTGAACTCAAAGAATTTAGAAACTAACTCGAACATAATTTATATCGATCTCATGACTACCGTCAGGATTTTTAATGTTTAGACTCTTGAATTAAATTAAATCAACGAAAGTATAAAGTAAAAGTAGTTACCATTTCTTTTTTGATATTGTCCTATTTTGTTGGAAGTTTTTCATCTTGAATCTGTAGTTTTTCTTGCAAGTCACTCGATATCTCTTCATTCTCTTTGATTTCGTATGGTATACTAAAATCGGAATCTGTTTTGCAACACCAAAAAAAACATAGCAATGAGCTAATGAAGCAATAAAAATAATATTAAATAATAATTTACCTTCATTTGGAACATACAAACTAACACTTGTAGAGCCTAAACATTCGATATCATTTTAATTAATATGAAATATCAGCATGATTTACATTTACGTAGTAACAAAAGGTACCTGTATTAGTTGGAATTGACTTTGTAGTAAAGACTCGACTGATGTAAACTGCATTCGGATGGATTTTTTGTTTTTTAATCAAAATACTTGTTTTATCTTTCATTTCATTGAATTTTTGCCTTTCTAAATTAAGACTCTCAATAATTTCTTTATCCTTTAAAGTTCTGTAGTACTGAGAATGCAAAGTGTTCAATTTGTAGTCTTTTTGATAATAGATAGATCCGATAAAGTTCCAAATTTGCTCAGCAGTTGGTCTGCTTTCTGGGATAGGATCCCAGCATTTTTCAATAATAAATTTGCACCATCCGGGAACATTATTAGGTATCGTAGGTCGTACTCCATTATAGACGTCGTATACAAGATAGTGATCATGACTTCTTTCACCGAATGGTCGTTCGCCTGTTGCAATCTCGTACATAACCATCCCAAAACTATAAATGTCGGCGGCTTGATTGTATGACTTTCCATTTAGCACTTCTGGACTAATATAAGGAAGTACTCCGTAAATTTTTTGATTAGATTTTCCTATATCTGTTGA